GTGTACGTGGCTGGTGCCTTAGCTGGTTGAGCTATAGGCGCTGAGCCCTTGGGCCCTCTTCTTACCTGCATGTTCTGTTTGTAGAGTTTTCTGTCAATTTGAGCTCGCAGTCCCCACACGGCTGGTCCCTTACGCCGATTTAATACTTTGTAATGTATACCAGACTGGTCACAGATTCGAGAACACAGGCCATCCAAGGCATCTACTTCCCTCATTAAATGCCCCTTTCCAATGCCACCAAAGGAAGGATTACATGACATCTGACCTAAAGAGAATAGACATATCAAAATATTAGCACTCTGCACACAGTGGGTGTTCAATAAGGAAATATGTTGGCCAGTCTCAGTGGCTCATTCCTGTAATCCTTGCACTGTGGGAGACCAAGGCAGGAGGATCCCTCAAGCTCAGGAGTTTGAGACCAGCCTGAGCAAGACTCGGTCTCTACTGGAAAATGGAAAAATTAACTGGGCATTGTGGCAGGTGCCTGTAGTTCCACCTACCTGTGAGAGGCTGGAGGATCACTTAACCTCAGGAGTTTGAGGTTGCCGTAAGCTAGGCTGATACCATGGCACTCTGGAGTTTGCAACAGAGTAAAACTCAGTCTCAAAATAAAAATAAATCTTTTAGGGCGAGGCGCAGTGGCTCATGCATGTAACCCCAACTCTCTGGGAGGCTGAGCCAGGCAAATTGTCTGAGTTCATAGGTTCCAGACCAGCCTGAACTAGCTCTTTGGGAGGCTAAAATAAGGTGGGAAGATAAGGCCATCTTTAGGGAGGATATATTTTAGATACTTTCAGACACTTTATTTTTTGAGTTGGTGCCTCAGCTCTTCTCCAATCCTGGCCTTCAAGTAACATTGGCAGGAGGCACCACGCTGGAGATAGTTTTAGATCATAGTAATAGCCCAGTGGCTTGCCAATGTTTTACTTGGCATACGAAGGCTTCTGTGGCTCAGTGAGTAGGGTGCCGGCCCCATATACCGAGGGTGGCGGGTTCAAACCCAGCCCCAGCCAAAATGCAGAAAAAAATAGGTAGGCGTTATGGCAAGCGCTGTAGTCCCAGCTACTCGGGAGGTTGAGGCAAGAGAATTGCCTAAGCCCAAGAGCTGGAGGTTGCTGTGAGCTGTGATGCCACAGCAGTCTACCCCAGGCAACAAAGTGAGACTCTGTCGCTAAAAAAACACACACAAATAGGGTGACCAGATTTTCACATTGGTAAAGCAGGACAACATGGGGGTGGGGGCGGGGCAGGGACGGGACAAGGCAGGGCCTGACAACAACGCAAACTTTGATAAGCAGTTCTCAATAAATAAACTACTGGTCATCTCTGCTCTTAAACAGAGCCTACTAAAATCCACGCAGGGGTGTTCAACTTTTTGGCTTCTCTGCAGCACACTGAAAGAAGAGTTGTCTTGGGCTTGGGTCACACATTAAATACACAAACACTAATGAAAGCTGATAAGCAAAAAAAAAAAAAAAAAAAAGCCCGTGCATAATTTTTGTGATATCTGCTACCACAGATAAACAAAAAGTTCTCATATAATCCACATGTAGCCATGGGTGGCAGGTGAACACCCCTGAGTGATACCAGCACTTGGGGTAACGAACATGTATGTATAAGTTAGTCCATTCCTCACCCTACTAAAGAATTTAAGGGTGGACACAGTATCTCATGCCTGTAATCCCAATACTTTGGGAGGCTAAGGTGGGAGGACTGTGTGAAAGAGTTTGAGACCAGCCTGGGCAACACAGTGAGACTCTGTATAAAAAATAGAAAAATTAGCCATGCTTGGTGGTGCAGACCATTAGTCCCACCTACAGTGGAGGCTGAGGCAGGAGGATCACTTGAGGAAAAGAGTTTGAGATTATAATGAGCTACGATGACACCACTGCACTCCAACCTGGGTGACAGAGAGAGACCATCTCTAAAGAAAAAAGGAAAGGGAAGAGGAAAAGGAAAGAAAAAAAATATATAGAATTTAAGTCAGCAATGTAGAAAACCTTATAGGAAAAAAGGGCAGTGCCTGTGGCTCAGTGGGTAGAGCGCTGGTCCCATACACGGAGGGTGGTGGGGTTCGAACCCGGCCCGGCCAAACTGCAACAAAAAATAGCCAGGCATTGTGGTGGACGCCTATAGTCCCAGCTACTTGGGAGGCTGAAGCAAGAGAATCACCTACACCCAATAGTTGGAGGTTGCTGGGGGCTGTGACGCCCACTTAATACTGGCCAGGCACTGTTCCAAGTGATTTAAATGTTATTTTCCTGACTTAAATTTTACTGTAACCCTATGAAGTTGGTATTGCTATTTCATACACAGTGAAGCTTAGATTAGAATTCAGAATGTCTAGAAATCTCTTTAATAGGAAAGTCTCTCTGTAAAATGCATAGGTGATGGGACAGAGAATAAACAGGCTCAGAAAACCTCTCTTTTGTCTAAAATTATTATTTTCCAGGTTACTAAAACAAACTTTCTACCTCTTGGCTGGGTGCTAATGCCTATAATCCTAGCCAAGGCAGTATAATCGCTTGAAGTTAGGAGTTCAAGACCAACCTGAGCAAAGTGAAGAGCCTACCTCTACTAAAAATAGAATTTTTTTTTT